CACGGACTCAGAGGAAGTTCGATGCAGTATGGGTTATTGTTGACAGGCTGACTAAGTCAGCACATTTCATTCCTGTGGCAGTTTCCTATTCTTCGGAGCGGTTGGCTGAGATCTATATCCGGGAGATTATTCGTCTTCATGGTGTTCCCGTGTCTATCATTTCTGACAAAGGTAAGCAGTTTACCTCGCATTTCTGGAGGGCAGTACAGCGTGAGTTGGGTACGCGGGTCGAGTTGAGAACCGCATTTCATCCCCAGATGGATGGACAGTCTGAGCGTACTATTCAGATTTTGGAGGATATGCTTCACGCCTGTGTTATTGACTTTGGAGGTTCTTGGGATTAGTTCTTGCCGTTAGCGGAGTTTGCCTACAACAACAGTTACCAGTCGAGCATCCAGATGGCCCCCTATGAGGCATTATATGGTAGACAGTTGTCGGTCGCCAGTTGGGTGGTTTGAGCCGGGGGAGGCTCGATTGTTGGGTACGGATTTGGTACAGGATGCCTTGGATAAGGTTAAGATTATTCAGGATAAGCTTCGTACAGCTCAGTCCAGGCAAAAGAGTTATGCCGATCGTAAGGTTCGCGATGTGGCATTCATGGTCGGAGAGCGAGTGTTGCTTCGAGTGTCGCCCATGAAGGGCGTGATAAGATTTGGGAAGAAGGGCAAGCTAAGCCCTAGGTTCATTGGGCCTCTTAAGATACTTCATCGAGTGGGAGAGCTGGCTTACAGACTTGCGTTGCCACCGGGTATATCAGTTGTGCATCTAGTGTTTCATGTGTCCATGCTTCGGAAGTATCACAGCGATCCCTCCCACGTGTTAGACTTCAGCACTGTCCAGTTGGACAGGGATTTGACCTATGAGGAGGAGCCGGTAGCTATTCTTGACCGGCAGGTTCGTCAGTTGAGATCGAAGAGTTATCCTTCGGTTCGTGTTCAGTGGAGAGGTCAGCCTGTTGAGGCAGCTACCTGGGAGTCTAAGTCCGATATGCGGAGCAGATATCCTCATCTTTTCACCGACTCAGGTACTTCTCTATGTCCGTTCGAGGACGAACGGTTGTTTTAGAGGTAGAGAATGTGATGACCCAAGGGGTCATCTTTTGTTTTAGAACCCAAATCCGTGTTCCAAGGCCTTGAAAACCTCATTTTCTTTCTCCTCGATTTGCATGCGCAGTCCGAGCGTGTTTTCGGAAAGCCTTTATGTGAAATTTAAGAAAAATATTGAATTTTGCCTTTAAAATTGATTAAAGTTGACTTCGGTCAATATTTTTGGTAAACGGACCCGGATCCATGATTTGACGGTCCCGTAGAGTCCGCAATAAAATATAGGACTTGGGTGTATGTCCGGAATCGAATTCCGAGGTCCCTAGCACGAGAAATAAATTTTTGAAGAAAATTATTTGCTGAAAAATAAAAGGATTTTTAGAAATGGAATAGTGTGTGATCTCGTTGGTATCGGCCCCGTATTTTGGTTCTAGAGCCCGGTACAGGTTCAATGTGGTATTTAAGTCGTGTCTGTGAAATTTGGTGAGAATTAGAAGTGATTTGACATGATTCGGACGTCCGGTTGTGAAAATAGAAATTTCAAGTGTTCTTAAGGAAATCATGATTTTTGGTGTTAAATTCGTTATTTAAGATGTTATTTTGGCGATTTGATCACATGAGCAAGTTCGTATGATGTTTTTAGACTTTTGTGCATGTTTGGTTTGGAGCCCCGAGGGCTCGGGTAAGTTTTGGATAGGCTACAGAGTGATTTTTGAACTTAGAGAATTGCTGGTATGCTTCAGCTAAGTTGCAGGCCTCGGACCTCGCAAATGTGAGGTCAAGGTTCGCAATTGCTACTGTTGTCAATGTCGCATTTGCGAGGCTTCCATCGCAAATGCGAAGGAAGCTGGGCCAGCTCATATTCGCAATTGCGAACAATTCTTCGCAATTGCGAAGTAGTCAGGGAAGGGGGACCTTCGCATTTGCAACCAAATGGTTCGCATTTGCGACAGTGGCAGAGATGCGGTAGGTTCGCATTTGCGACTTGTGAAGCTCCTGTCGCAAATGCGACATCTGCAACTGATCAAAACATGACTTAGACGGGATTTCAACTCATTTTCTCAAATTTTCAGACCCTAAGCTCCCATAGGCGATTTTCCAAAGAGGAGTTCTTCCCCAAATCATAGGTAGACGATTTCTAACTCATTTCCTTCAATCTATTTCATCTTTTCACAAGATTTCATCACAAAATCTAGGGATTTTCATGGGAAATTGGGTGTTTTTGGGTAGAATTTAGGAATTTTGAAATTTAGGAATTTGGACCTCAATTTGAGGCCGGATTCCAAAACCAATTGTATATTCGGGCTCGGGGGTGAATGGGTACTCGGGTTTTGGTCCGAACCTCGAGTCTTGATCAAGCGGGCCCAGGGTCGATTTTTGACTTTTTGGGGAAAATATTGGGAAATCTATAGTTATGCATTGGAAATGGTTTCTTTAGCGTTTATTGATGTTATTAAGTTAATTATCGCTAGATACGAGTGAATTGGTGGTGGAATCGAGAGGTAAAGCGGTGATTGAGCTTTGAAATACCCGTTGGCTTGAGGTAATTGTTTGGTCTAACCTTGGCTTGAGGGATTAGGGATCCCCGACTTGCTTTTTATGTGAAATACCATGTGTGTGGCGTATAGGTGTGGTGAGGAGCACCTATGCGTCGCCAAATTTCCTGTTTAACCTATTTCCTTTCCCCGTTTCCCAAATATTGCTTTCTCGCCTTAATTGTTACTTGCTTATCGTTGCTTCCATGTTTAATTGCTTCCTGTTAACTGTTTTTTTCTTTATTGAGGTATTATTTGTATCGCATTTTCATTTTATTACCTTGTTTGATTATGTTGGTTATTGGTGCTTCATGGTACACTAACGTTGGTCTCGCTGTGTAGCTTTGAACTGATGAAGTTTTATAGTTGTAGTGATATTCCATCGTGTTGGTTTGTGGAATAAGTATTGTGGAGGACTTGAGATGATTTGTGAAACACTTGTCTTTATCTTGTGATTTGTGCTGTTATATATATATATATATATATATATATATAGGATCGGGTTGCACGCTGCAACAGGAAGAATAAGGGTGAACGTGATTGTCTGGTGGGATCGGGTTGCACGCCACAACAAGGAGTAATAAGGGTGGACAGGTGGGATCGGGTTGCACGCCGTAACAGGAGGAATGAGGGTGATTTATTGAGGAGTAATAAGGGTGGATTGGTGGGATCGGGTTGCACGCCGCAACAGGGAGTAATAAGGGTGAATATTTATATTGTTATTAATGATATGGTGGGATCGGGATGCCCGCCGCATCAGTTGTTTACGCATTCATTTCTGTTGAGGTTCATTTCTGTGATGTTGAAACTCCCTTAAGGATTGGTTATAGCTGAGTATTGGTAGAACGACCGGTTTCCGTACTTATTTAATGCAAGTTACTGCTTTATTTCTTTCTGTATTTCCTTTCTGTTTTAGTATAAACTGTTGCAGGTTGTATATGTTGTTATGCCCCGCCATAGCCTCGTCACTACTTCGTCGAGGTTAGGCTCGGCACTTACTAGTACATGGGGTCGGTTGTACTGATACTGCACTCTGCACTTCTTGTGCAGATTTCGGAGCTAGTGGCTGATCGAGAGGTTGGTTGTTGCTACTGCATTTAGGAGACCCGAGGTAGTCCTGCAGGCATTCGCAGGCCCTGGCGTCCCCTTCTATCTTTACTGCATTCTGTTTTACTTTTTTCCGAGACAGATGTATATTTTTCTTTCAAACCAATGTTTGTAGTATTCGTAGACTGTTCGTGAGTTGAGACACCAGTTTCTGGGTGGAATTTATTTCGGTTTTCGTTATTAGCATAAAGATAATCTTTTAAACTGTGTTCATCCGCATTTATTTCCGCTGATTTACTTTCGTTAAGTTTTAATTATTAAAAGATAAAGGAAAAAGGTGAAATATTCTATAACGTTGGCTTGCCTAGCGAGTACAATGTTAGACGCCATCAAGGTCCCGACGGTGAAAAATTCGGGTCGTGACAAATATTTTATTTACTACGTTTCTTATTGTATTGAATTGCATATGTTCGATTAGTCCTTGTTATTTTCTTTAAGTTCAGCAATTAGCTCTAAGCAAGTAATAAGATATTTTCAATTAAATTTATTCCTTTATTTTTCTTTTTTATGTCGATGGGTGGACAAATTTTTTATCAACAGTCATGTGAGCGTAGAACATTTTTATTTTTATATTTATGAGCATTTTAACTAAAAATATTACAGTCTATGGCTATATACACTAGTTAATATTGATTACTGTATCGAATAAGTCGAAACCGAAAGGAGAAAATCCGAACCATACCAAATTTAATTAGGTACGATATTGGTATAGCATTTTAGGAAATTGAATACCAAAAATATCGAACCGAAATTTCTAAATACCGTACCGTATCGACCGATGAACACCCCTACATGGAGCTTAACTTTTATATATCGTTAATTTAAATTTATTTTTATAACAATATTAACATATGCGAGATTTAAGAGAATATAATCCGTATAATATCTTAAATTTATTTAATGAAGCGGATTCATGTGAACCCTCTTGATCCTATGTGGATCTGCCCCTGGTAATGCTATTTGCGCTACGACAAGGCACTTTGATTCACTATGTTAAAAGATGAAAATTTGCTCTTATTTAAAACTTACGAGTTTGCAATTCTAGTCCTTTAAGTTACTAAATTTTAAATTGATAATTTATTTCTTAGTCACTATTGCGTGCTATGCCGCGTTACTGCCAAAGTTAACGTGCAAGAGCGGACTTGTATTTTTTCCAGTTTGTGCTCTATAGCTGTCTGTCTTTCAAAAGATCCGCAAGTAGGTACTACTATATTTTATTTTTTTTATTATTTTTTTTGGGTACAAAAGATAACTTATATATATATATATTTCTACCTATTTAGAAGCGAGAATAAGGTGCTCTTGGTCGTCTAGGGGTATTTTAGTCTTTTCGGTATAGTTTACACAGTACGCTTAAAATTTTCCTTCTCAGCATATTTTATTTTACACTATTCCGTTCAATTTCTCTTGTCTACGATACGCGGCTCTTTCTCTTCTCAAACGTGTAACATCAGGCTCTTCTTGTTTTTGGTGCTTTGAGTTGTTTTCTTAGTTTGCTAACACCTGTGTTTCATGGGGATCAACAATAAACTTTGGGGGTTAAACATTATCTCTTCAGGTTTTGATGGGATCAGCGATATATTTTGTGTTAAAGATTACCTGTTCAGGTTAGATTACTTCGATGTCCTTCTTTTTGGCAAATATGATCTTTACTTTTAGGGTTATATTTGACACTTTATAGAATTGTTTAGCTATGACAGCAGAATAAATTCTGGATTAGACTCTGTTCTGCTTGGGTTTTCTCTCCATATTTCACTGTTTACCTTTTCGTCTCTGTGTTCGTTTGCTCACAGGTGATTACTTTGTCTGATCTATAAATTTGAGATTAGATTAGACAACTTGTTGAATTTTTCAGCTGTCTGATGTTTACTAATTACCAGTTACAAAAGTTAAAGGCATAAAAACTACCATGCTAACTGAAGGCGAATGTTTGATGAGCCGGAACTAATACATTAAAGTAGAAATAAAATGTTTATGTTTATGGAGTAGTAGTTAATAAAATTTTATGGAACATACTCTGTTTGTGTGCCTGAGTTAATTGAAAAGGCATCTTTATTAGAAGTACTTACTATCATTTTTTTGATAGAAGTATATATATGAAGGACTATACAAGCAAGCTGATATGTTTTTCCCTCGGTGAATTAAATAACAATAAGAAAATCAGAGTTGCTCAAGTTGTTGTGTGTCGAAGTCACTTGTTTGTGGAACTTGTTAATGGGAAAGACTTTAGTCTTCTTTGGTCTAAGAACATAGTCTTCCCTTGATCAAATTGTGAACTATTTTATTGTTACAGTTACGTTTGAACCTACTGTAGTTTCGTGGGAATTTCTTTGTAAATTCGAGTTGTCAGTCACTGAATACTCGCAATGCTATATCAAGTTTTCTTTTTTATTTTTTAGCTTCGGTTCGTAGTAGATAGAGGTTATTTGATTCTCAGTAAGGAATTGAAATAATCTTCCGGACGGACTCCATATGCTTCCAAGGAACCAATAGAGAAAACAATCAGGGGAAACTTTTAGTGATGTATCAACTGTGTGAACTTATGTTTTCATTAGGGCTTACTATTGTTACCTAATTAGGCTTCCACTTAATACTAATCTATCTTAACTTATTTTGTCGCAAAAGCACGAACAGATCTAGTCCTGTTAGAGTTGGCTCCAACAATCTTATATGTTTATCAACCAGTTATTTACCCTACTCTTGTTGTTTCAATTTCAATAATGATGGTTACCATTGATCGTTTGTTGCAGATTTTGAATTTTTAAGGTTGAGTTAGTAATAGTACTCTCTACTTTGCAGTCTTGATGCACGTTAAATATGAAGTATATGTCTTTATATTATTACTATTGTTATATTTTTTTAACCATAAACAACTCGATAATTTCATGCCAAATAATAAAACAACTGTTAGCATGTAAAAGAAATTCTTATGTGCTTCTATAGTACATTCAATTTCTTTGCCACGAGGAAAACCTTCAGCTTAGCAATAAATATGGTTCAACAGTTACTTTGCTTTGTTTATCAGTAAGTGCCAAAGCTGTTCTTAGGCCTTTCTAAGGGTGTGTGGGAGTGTGTATGAGAGTGGTGTGGTGTGTGTGAGGAGTAAAGATGAGTGACTGAGAATGAGAATGAATGAGCGCGAGAGGGTGTGAGTGTAGGTGCGTGTCCCCAGAATGAATGAATAGTTTGTAACAAATTGTTAGAGCATCTTTCAGTTATTTCCTTTCTTTACTCCCTTCTCACTATTTTCTGAGAAAGCTGCTGTTGTTATTTTAAGGTAATTGGTTTTAGCAATTAATTATTGTCACAAAATGGGAGTGGCACATCGTGATATAAAACTAGATAACATCTTGTTTGATTCCTAGGTAGAACATGTTTCCATGATTTTTTTTATTACGTTACAACCACTTTTCTTTTTAACTCTCAATTTCTTTTATTTTTAGATGTTCGTGTTATTTCCTATTCACAAGTTTTAGCTTCTTTATTACTATCTTTTATTGCATATCCACATATTTGGTCTGCTAATAGAGCTTACTATAGTGATCTTCTTTCTTGTCTTTACCATTCATCTTATGACAGTCGCATTACACATTCTATAGAGAATATTTTTGCGAGTATTTTCAATGCACGATGTGTTGAAGTTGATGCTAACCATGACTAAAAGTTATTTCTGCCTTTGTAGAACTGCTGACGCTTCTGTTTCATTTGGTACGACAAAAAAAGCTGCTCGACGTGCTTACAGGTAATCAACTATCTTATCTTCATATATTTGTAAACGCAGGCTCTTACTAGCACATCCTCTGTTTCTCCTGCTCGTTGCACTGCTAACTGTTACTGTTGTGCACTATTTTTGTTTTTACAAGTTGTGGTACTGAATTTATCTGCAATGTTGTTTGACAATAGCTGCTGTTGGTGCTCACAGCAGGTGCTACGTATATCAAAGTGCAGTACCTTTTTGTGCTTCTACATATTCGCTAATAGAAATTGATATCTTGCTAAAGGGTTGTGTGATAGTTCGCACAACTTCATTTAGGAGTAAATACTACGATTCTGATGGATCATACACAAAAAAATAAACGTCCCCTCTCAGAGACAGATAGAAATGTCAGTCGACGTGAAAAATACAAAGAGATGACAGTAGAGAAAAAGGAAAAGTTATTGCTATAACGTCGACTAAAATACCAAGAGTCAAAGAGACATACGCTTTGTGAGAATATAACTACTGTTCCCTTGATTGGAACAATGGCTTGTAAAGTAAAGAGATGAACACGTCCATTTTGCTGTCTATGAAAAAGGTGAGTATGTTTCTTTGCTCGCTTTAAAATAGCTACACTATTAGTTCCATCTAAAGA